GTGGCAACAGCGCTATTGTTTTTTTAAGACTTAGAAGATGGCTGCTTTTGGAGCCCGCAGAAACGCTGTGCACAAAACAAAGCACTGGAAAGCAGTGTGTGTGTGTGTGTGTGTGTGCGCATGCATAATAAACATCAGCAGCCCTTCTGCTAGTTTGCTGAACCGTCTAGCTGTGAGTGTTGTATTAACTAGGCCAACTGCTACAGAATTGCTTCCTGCTAATCATTCCCTAGATCAGAGGTGTCCACTCCTGGTCCCGAAGAGCTGGTGTGTCTGATTTTTTCATTACCATCCCAGGTCTTAACGAGCTTCTCTAGCTTAACCTGACCAGTTGAACAGCTCCTCCCAGCTCTTTGGATGCAGCTGCTTTTCAGAGACCTTGAAAATCTGGAGATGCACTGACTGACCCTGCAGGACCAGGACTGGACACCCCTGTCCTAGAGCCAGGACCCTGCCTGGAGGCTCTGATTGGCTCATGAAGGAGTGAAGACCCTGTAGCTATACCAACCCTCCAGGGTGAAGATCAGACACCCCTGGTTTAGATTAAACTGCACCCCCAGAGAGAGATTCTCTTTCTATGTGCTGTCTTTCATCCCACACAGTTTCCCCACATTGCTTTCCTGCGTACTAATAACCCAGTCTCTATGTACTGGTAGTGAAGGGGAGAAAGCAACTGGTATCAACCAACACTTGGTAACAGCTCTATAATCTCTAATCTGCTCACAGCTTCTTCAAGGTTACTTGTCAATCCTGTGTGTTTGAGTCCATGTCTTTGCTCTGGCCTGTATTCCAGCTCCAGTCTGCAAGACTCCACCTGTAAAATGAGCTGCATTTAAGCTTGCCTTTGCCGCTCGACAGAAGGGTTAATAACAGAATCAAGGCCTGATTAGTATGAACGAGCCTGCTTTTGAGGGGCGCAGTGCTGGGTGTGCCGGGGTACGCTCTGGCGTCTGTGTGACGTGACTGTAAACTGCTCTCCCCCTGTATTGGGGCGGAGAGGTGGCTCTGCGGCTCAGGATCTGCGCCTGTGGCTGGGAGGTTGCCGGTTCAAATCCCGCGGCCCAGCAGAGGAATCCTACTCCGTGGGGCCCCCTGAGCGAGGCCCTTCACCCCAGCTGCTCCAGGGGCGCCGTACAATGTCCGACCCTGCGCTCTGACCCCCCAAGCTTCTCTCCCTGTCTGTGTGTCTGTGTCTCCATGGAGAAAAGCTGGGGGTATGCGAAAAGACGAATTCCTAATGCAAGAAATTGTATAATAAATAATAA